ACAGACAGACACACACACACAGACAGACAGACACACACAGACAGACACACATACAGACACACACACACAGACGTGTTTCTGCATGAAGCAGGACATTCACAGGGCTTTTGCTATTTATAACCACCTGCCTTGATTACACAGGCAGCAATCACATTAGAGGAGGAACAGCTTATTACATTCAGATGAAAATACATGAAAACTAAAGCTGCACTACATATACTTAAAAAAAATGTATGTTGCAATATGGCTTAATGTCTAGTCAAATAACAAATGCTTTAAATAATACATTGCCGATTTCAAAGTGAAGCACAGTTTATTTACTGTGCATTGAGCCACTCTGACATGTAAAAGATGAACACAATCAGAAGCCAACTGTGCATATATTTATTTGCAGACAAGCATCCAAAATAAAAGCTTGATGTTTTACTTTTGAAAATTAAAATGCAAGTCTTAGTACTGTAATTGTACAGTTTTACTATAGAATAAATGATTAGTATTTTTTATTAAACGATTGTTAATTTTATTATAATAATATTATTGCACTATATTTTGCTTAATGATTTTATTTAATAATAATCACAAAAAAAATCATTATTTAAGTCTTTTTAAATGGGTCAAAAACACTGGGAATGTGACCGATGAAAACTTGGGCGGAGAGAGACTTTTTTTCACTTCATGGTTACTGAAAGTGGTTTGGGTTGGTTCATGTAATGAGTACACCCACATTTTTCTAAAATTATAACCACCTGCATTGATTACACAGGCAGCAATCACATTAGAGGAGGAACAGCTTATTACATTCAGATGAAAATACATGAAAACTAAAGCTGCACTACATATATTTAAAAAAAATGTATGTTGCAATATGGCTTAATGTCTAGTCAAATAACAAATGCTTTAAATAATACGTTGCCGATTTCAAAGTGAAGCACAGTTTATTTACTGTGCATTGAGCCACTCTGACATGTAAAAGATGAACACAATCAGAAGCCAACTGTGCATATATTTATTTGCAGACAAGCATCCAAAATAAAAGCTTGATGTTTTACTTTTGAAAATTAAAATGCAAATCTTAGTACTGTAATTGTACAGTTTTACTATAGAATAAATGATTAGTATTTTTTATTAAACGATTGTTAATTTTATTATAATAATATTATTGCACTATATTTTGCTTAATGATTTTATTTAATAATAATCACAAAAAAAAATCATTATTTAAGTCTTTTTAAATGGGTCAAAAACACTGGGAATGTGACCGATGAAAACTTGGGCGGAGAGAGACTTTTTTTCACTTCATGGTTACTGAAAGTGGTTTGGGTTGGTTCATGTAATGAGTACACCCACATTTTTCTAAAAAAATATGCTTCACGCTCAAAATTATTTATACAGTTTCTGTATTTTTTAATACTGCAATATAGATTTTGAAAACCTAAATATTGCAATGTCAGTTTTTCCAAAATCCTAAAGCCCTCAACTCTTAAAGGTTGTTTATGATATGATATGATTTAACACTTTAGAGCTATAATAAAAACTGTTCAGGTCAACTGCTAACAGCTCAGCTATATGACCGAAATCTCACTGCATTAATTAAAGGTGCCATAGAATGCATTGATACAATATTTTAAATTGTTCTCTGATATCTACATAGAAGGTATGTGGCTTAGGTAAGGGCAAAAATCTCCAGAAAAGGTTTTACATGTCCATTTACAACCCTAGGATTTGTCCCTAGAATGAAATGGTCTGTTATTACCTTATTCGGAAGGCTCATGAATAATAATGTTGAGCTCTGCTCTGATTGGCTGTTTCACAGTGCAGCTCATTTCAGTAGTTCAGTAGGGAAAATATATATTTCAATACTTTCTCTAGCAGTTATATCGTTGGGTAATTATACTGTACATAAAATTCGGGCATCAGGGAGCCGCTATTAATATATGCCAATGCACGATCGCTTTTTACGTTCACTTTGGAGATTTGCGATCGCACGTGCTCTGTGTAAACTACAGCGGCAGTACCACACATTTAACAAGATCAGATGCTTGTCAGTGCTGCTCAGGATCCGTACATCATTCGCCATCATCCTCAGTCATCCCTCCTTACACTGTTTATGTGCTAAGTTAAATCTTATGTACTGTGATGTAACAGGCTACCGCTAGCAAGCGGCTAACCATGTCCCTTTAGTGGCTCCCGTTATTTTTTTATAACGCACGTTATTTGTTTTCCGTGCCTTTCTGAATACAGACACCAACCCATCCCTGCACAGCCTGGAACATGACATTTATTTCCATGATCTGCCATTTTCGCTGTTATCCTTGCTTGTTTCTTCACAACACCTGCAGAGCTTCTGATGATCCGGCTGTGCAGGTGCGGCTGGCATAGCACATGTGCGGGTGTATGCAAATGTTGGGGGTGCAACTATTAGTGATCCCGACTGTAACGTCACAGTCAGTGTTATGTTCTGATTCGGTCTTTTGCATGCACGAGATTTACATAAGGAGGAAACAATGTTGTTTGAGGCTCAAGGTATGTCATTTCCATGCACAGAACTGTTATTATTCAACTATGCCAAGGTCAATACAGTTTTACACTCTATAGCACCTTTAATACCTTCAACTTTCAGCTATTATAAATGTATCCAGCTCTACTACACTCACACAAACATGACATACTGTATATAGCAAATCTCAACTATTTATTGTTTATACGGTTGCAAAATGTTAACTATATTATCACTCAGCTCTAAATGTGGCATGAAGGTGTTTTAATCATTAACGCTATGTATTTCTGTAAAGCTGTTTTGAAACAATGTGTATTGTGAAAAGCATCACACATAATAAAATTGACTCAAATGTCAATCTATGAATTCATAAGCACACTTTTGCTGGGAAACATGATGGCATGTGATGTAGAACATTAGTGATTCGTGGTTTTCAGCAGATTCGAACTCATGCATTGTTTGTTTTTCACCTTGTAGTCGACTCCTCCGATGATTTTGCGGATGAGTTTGAAGGTCAAAGCCCAGAGCTGAGTCCTCTCCCACTCCAGACTGTCAGAGCTCATCAGAGCCTGACACACCATTCTGCAAAAACACCGTTACACAGCGCACTTCAGTCAGAGACATGAACACCCAGAGCAATAAACACAGCCTGGTTATAGGTCAAGTGTGACTTCAGGTTTGGGCTGAGTTCTGGTTTCTGTAAAAAAGAAAGTGCTACTACACATACTTTGTGTTAGCTATTAATAACTCACGTAATGCACGCACACACACAGCTTGTCGTCCATGCATCGAAGTGTACTAGAGTTTGGCAGCACCGCTCATTTATGTCCCGGGTCGGACTCCAGCGTGACGTGTGTTTACCTGGGAGGCAGCAGGCTGGTCTCCACCGCCATGGCCAGACAGTCATAGAGGAAGGAGATGCGTTTGGGGCTGTGCTGACTATGAATGAAGCGGACGATCCACTGCACGCACTGATCGTGTGACTCCTGCAGTGACAACACACACAGACCTTCAGGTTTGGGCTGAGTTCTGGTTTCTGTAAAAAAGAAAGTGCTACTACACATACTTTGTGTTAGCTATTAATAACTCATGTAATGCACGCACACACACAGCTTGTCGTCCATGCATCGAAGTGTACTAGAGTTTGGCAGCACCGCTCATTTATGTCCCGGGTCGGACTCCAGCATGACGTGTGTTTACCTGGGAGGCAGCAGGCTGGTCTCCACCGCCATGGCCAGACAGTCATAGAGGAAGGAGATGCGTTTGGGGCTGTGCTGACTATGAATGAAGCGGACGATCCACTGCACGCACTGATCGTGTGACTCCTGCAGTGACAACACACACAGACACATACACTGCATTCAAAGCACATCTGTTCTAAATGACCACCAAAATATGACTTTTTATGAAGAAATCAGACAATTTTGTATATGTGAGAGTGGGTAGCTAAAAACTGGTATTATAATTCAGGGTCTTTCCACAGAAATACGTGACAGATGAAGATGAGCTGACCTGAGGAAGAGTGCTCCAGTACTGCCTGAACGCTCCTAAACAGCTCACCAGTTTGGTCCTCTCATCCTCCGGACTGTCCATAAACATGCTGCAGAACACACACACACACACACGCACGCACACACACACAAGACACACACACATACACACACGTGCACGCACACACAAGACACACACACACATATAAGACACACACACACAAGACACACACACACACGCGCACACATAAGACACACACACACACACAAGACACACACACACACACAAGACACACACACACATATAAGACACACACACACACGCGCACACATAAGACACACGCGCACACATAAGACACACACACACACATAAGACAGACACACACATAAGACACACACACACACAAGACACACACACACACATAAGACACACACACACATAAGTTCTAAATGACCACCAAAATATGACTTTTTATGAAGAAATCAGACAATTTTGTATATGTGAGAGTGGGTAGCTAAAAACTGGTATTATAATTCAGGGTCTTTCCACAGAAATACGTGACAGATGAAGATGAGCTGACCTGAGGAAGAGTGCTCCAGTACTGCCTGAACGCTCCTAAACAGCTCACCAGTTTGGTCCTCTCATCCTCCGGACTGTCCATAAACATGCTGCAGAACACACACACACACACACACGCACGCACACACACACACACACAAGACACACACACATACACACACGTGCACGCACACACAAGACACACACACATATAAGACACACACATAAGACACACACACACACACACAAGACACACACACACACACACAAGACACACACACACACACACGCGCACACACGCGCACACACACACAAGACAGACACACACACAAGACAGACACACACACACAAGACAGACACACACACATAAGACAGACACACACACATAAGACAGCACACACACACACACAATGACCCTCTTCATCTGTCTTCAGGTCAACAATCATATTGAGCAGGGGCCTGACGGGCCATTTATTTATTTTTTAATTTTAAATATACATATAATTTGAGTGACTGACGCCGGCGATTAACTGCACTTTCCTAATTTGTAGGCCTGTTAATTTAAATAACGAAATAAAAAAAATCACAAACATGACATTTCTGAGTAATAAAATAGTTGTACACACTCTAGTTATATCTGCTCTGGCAGTTTCAGTCCCCCTCCCCCTCCCCCTCCCACAGGCAGCCCGGGCCCAAGCACACACTCCAGCTGACGCTAGCTGACGCAGCCTGTATTTACTCACCCAGTGAACGCCTCTTCGATCACCTCCGTTTTCTGACGTAAACAAACACACATTTGAGAGTGTAAAGGTTTATTCTGTGATATATTCGCTTAACGAAACGGAACGTTCTGCTCATGCTGCACACGAAACATTATATTTGATTTAATGAAGGAAACGGTCACCCACCACTACATCCTCAAAGATACTCTGCAGCTGGCTTTCCATCGGGACCGCCATGCTGAGAGCCGCGGGTCTCCACGAGCTCACATGCGTGTTTAACACTGAGCTAACGCTGAGCTAACGCCCTCACAACACAACACCACACCACACAGCGCCAGCGCAGGCAGACCGGAAGCGCGTGCGCCGCTCAAAGCATTCCGGCGGGAGCACAAACTCACACAGCGGTGGATGGTTCCGACGTCTGCTGCGTTTCCGAGATTGAACAAAATAGAGCAAACAAATCGAAAAAGCAATGCACAGCCTCCTTTATAAACTCCTAATAAGTCACTCGTGTTAGAAAAAGTATGAGACTCCTTGTATTATTGTCTCTGTACAGATTTATTCGTTAACACTTAATGTTACTCTGTGTTTCCTCTATCTAGCTGCTTCCTGCATGCTGCCTGGTCGCTTATAAAGTGTTGCCCCCTGAATGTCTCTAGCTGCAAGACTTATTCTATTTAAAATACATAAATAAATACAAGTATTCAAATTGTATTCATTTATCCAAAAGTAACATCACAAATACAATACTACAAACATTCTCTAATAATTAAGACATTAAATTAATTGTAAGCCATAACTCAGCAGCATGGAGGAGGCTAAATCCTATAAGCAACTATTTTCATGAAATAAATATTTCACTTTTATGTATTTGATATTGCTGTAATTATTGGGCAAATGTAGTTATTTAGCAGTCCGGAGCGTTTGGCCCTCTAGCGGCTAATAAACAGAACTGCATGCGTCTTGCGGAAGAACACTGTAGCCGGAACTACTTCTCTGTGTTTATGTCTATGGCGAGTCACGCAGCCACTGGACTACTCCGCAGCGGTGACGACCCGAGTCAGTCTAAAATAGTCCGAATATAAACATTTATTATAGGTGTACCGTAGTGATTCTGGATAAGACAAAACACGGTTTGGAAAATGGATTCATGGTGTACTCGCTTATTATATAAATTGAGTTAATTTTGAACACAAAAAAGTTACGGACTGTAGCTTTAAGAATACAGTGTGCTGCAATAATTATTACTAAAAATGACACTGCATGTTCTGTACTTTCCTGTACATACCTTTTTCACTGATGCTGTTTTTTTTAACTGTCTTTAATATAAAACAATATTATAACTGTATAGCAAAACATTTTTTGATTAAGGGGTGTCTTTATAAATCGTCATAGGCTATTATTATGTTCTGAATCATCTGAATATGCCGCTTATTACAGCGCTCTTTTACATTTCAGCTTACCTGCTTGTCCGTTTTATAAGACTACATTAACATATGTAGGCCTAATAATTTATACTACACACAAATTTAGTCATTGTAATTATTCACAAAATATAAAAAGCAAACACAAACATTTTGACAACTGTTCACAATGTTGTACTTTGGTTGCAATTAAGTAATGTTGTAGTACAATGTTTTACAATAAATACATAATAATAATAATAAAATGTAACCAAATTAAAATGGTTTAGAAACGTTGTGAAAATACCAACCTGGTATGTTTTAAGTAGTCAAAAAAAATATATAATAATAATAATTATATCATGCAAACATCATGTTTGTCTACAACGAGAACAAAACTAGACCAAACTGCAATTGTTATTTTATAATAATTATATTGCAATCTACTGTTTGCACTAAAACTAAAGATTATATATTATATATTTAGATTTTTTTATATTTATTTAATAAGTTTTAAATTGATTTGAGAAACCGTTGCAAGATCAAAATTGCAGGCTACATTGTTATGCCAGTAGGTGGCAGCAAGGGACTGTCTTATTGAGCTAGTTAGTTAGTTAACCATTCATTCAATGCTGATTCATTCTATTGTAGCGCTGAGTTCTGTGACCCACCAAATGATGTGCTCCGAGGATGAGGTTAGGGGTAGGATTAGGTTTGGGTTTAGTAGTAGGTCGAATTAGCTCAATACAGATTTGATGGGTCACAGAATCCGAAAAATACAAGGTTGTACTTGTAAACAAGAATGTTTTCTGAACTTTGAACAAAACTGACAAACAGCACTGCGCTGGGGTAATGGTTGATTACACCGAGATCAATGCAGTGACTAGCGCTGACGCCTGTGATGTGAAATCTCCTTAACCACTGAAAGAATACTATGACAAAGATATCACCTTATGGATATACAGCAAATGTGGAGGGAATTATGCTTCACACTGGTGCATCTATAAATATATGTATTATAGCAAATACAGCATTATGGTCAGTTCACACTGTTACAAAAACGATTTAAAAAAACATGCTTATTTTGTTTTGTTTGGTCAGTGTGTTCACCCTGTTGGAGTATGGCCGTGTGAATTGGCTTTTAGGTGCTTTGGAAGAAAGCATTTTTTAATGTTTAATTGCTATTAATGTTAATTTCTTAAATACATTTCTGTGTTTTTCTTAAACATTCCCTATTCTTGCAGTGTTCAAGTGTTGACGTCGCTGAGTAATATCTGCATGCACCTAAGTCTGAAGAGAACACACAATATGGTAGCAGACAGCAATCCATATGAGAGAGAAGTCAGGTGTGGAGGCTGGATCTGGAACTGACTTCTGTCCAGGTTGTCACAACATCTCTTGATTATCTTCACGAATGCCCTGAAATACAATTCTAACATTAACAATGATTGTTACAAATATAGCTTGAGGCTCTTACATTCACAATGCTCATTTTGGCCTCGGTGGTGAAGTGTGCAGAAAAGTCTGCAGGATTTAAATGTGGTCTTTGGTGAACAGCTTTCAAGAGTGCAAATGAGATTTTAAGTTTTAAGCAGCTTTCAGGCTCGCGTGAGGTTTCCAGCAACAAAGTCTACTTCAACAAACACTTCACTACATTGAAAGTTTAGGGAACTTTTTTTTTAAATAATATAAAAATATTAAATATATTTATTAAATAAAATATTTATATATACTGTATATATATACACATACATATATTTTTTCATGTTTAATTGCTATTAATGTTAATTTCTTAAATACATTTCTGTGTTTTTCTTAAACATTCCCTATTCTTGCAGTGTTCAAGTGTTGACGTCGCTGAGTAATATCTGCATGCACCTAAGTCTGAAGAGAACACACAATATGGTAGCAGACAGCAATCCATATGAGAGAGAAGTCAGGTGTGGAGGCTGGATCTGGAACTGACTTCTGTCCAGGTTGTCACAACATCTCTTGATTATCTTCACGAATGCCCTGAAATACAATTCTAACATTAACAATGATTGTTACAAATATAGCTTGAGGCTCTTACATTCACAATGCTCATTTTGGCCTCGGTGGTGAAGTGTGCAGAAAAGTCTGCAGGATTTAAATGTGGTCTTTGGTGAACAGCTTTCAAGAGTGCAAATGAGATTTTAAGTTTTAAGCAGCTTTCAGGCTCGCGTGAGGTTTCCAGCAACAAAGTCTACTTCAACAAACACTTCACTACATTGAAAGTTTAGGGAACTTTTTTTTTAAATAATATAAAAATATTAAATATATTTATTAAATAAAATATTTATATATACTGTATATATATACACATACATATAATTTGACCTCAGACTGTAACCCAGACCGCCTCGCGTGCTATTCAACAGGAAATTATCAAATTAAAAATTGGGAACTTAATACAAAACATTAAAAATCTATAGTTACATTTAAAGGAATAGTTCACCCAAAAATGAAAATTCTGTCATCATTTACTCGCCCTCATGTCGTTCCAAACCCGTACGAGTTGCTTTCTTATGCTGAACACAAAAGAAGATATGTTGAAGATTGCTGGTAATCAAAGGTGGAAGTCAGCGGCAACCACCAACTGTTTGATTACCAGCAATCTTCAATCTTCAGAATTTCCATTTTTGGGTGAACGGCCATCAGCATGGAAGAATATAGGAATATAAACAACTTGTCGCAGAGCCAACAATATGTAGTATACAATGTCAGGTTTATTAGAAATAAGCAAACTAGAGCAGAGGTGAAATGCAGAAAACAGAAAAGAATAATATAAGTTACAGAATATACAAAAAAAAAAATTACGTTTTCAGGTTTTACAGATGCATGGTAATACACTCTTAAAAATAAAGGTGCTTCAAAAGGTTCTTCAAGCGATGCCATAGAAGAACCATTTTTGGTTCCACAAAGAAGCATTCAGTCAAAGGTTCTTTAAAGAACCATCTCTTTCTTACCTTTTTATAATCTGAAGAACCTTCTTTCGCCCCAAAGAAGCTTTTGTGAAACAGAAAGGTTCTTCAGATGTTGAAGGTTCTTTATGGAACCATTTAGACAAAAGGGTTCTTCTATGGCATCGTGAAGAACCTTTATTTTTAAGAGTGTATAGGCGAAATATATTGTAAAAAGTTATTTAATATGATTTCTCAGATCACCTGTGTTTCCTGTATGTCTGTCAGCATATTTTTCTTGGAACTTCCTGTTTTAGAGGTTTTTTCTGACACTCCTGAAATCACAGTACAGTTTCATCAATATTTGTTTACAATGAAAGATCAAACCGTGTTTGAAAGAGTTTCAGCCCATGTAAGTGGCGTCACCGATTAACCGTACAGTGCACACTTCTAGGTTAAATTCATTAGCTTACTTCCATTTATTCATTGACAAACTGCCAGCAAAACATTTATAAAACTATCAAAAATAATACGCGAAAATATAAATAAGAGCTCAAATCTAGTTCCTCTTATTCGGTGCGTTCCAAAACGGGATATATCGCCCTCTGAAGGGCACTTCGGAGTGAAAACAGTCATGGCTGCCATATTGAAGGGTCGTTCCAAACCGAAGTGCTCAAAGCGGGTCACTTCAAAGGGCCCTTCGGAATGAAGGATTACGACGGGTACTACTGATGGACACTTCAGGCTCCCATGATCCTTTGCGCTGATTCTTTGCATGATGACGGCGCCTCCGTGTGGGCACGTGATGATGACGCAGAAGGGCACTTCAAGAAACAGTTGTTTGGTCCCCTACACCCTTCAACCCTTCAAAGCTCTCACTCCGGAGGGTAAACCCCTTTGAAGGGATTAGGGCACAGGGATGAGCCCTTTCTAATGGAAGCAAGTTCTACCACTTATACCCTACGTTCTATTCGGAAGGGCTCATCCCTATACCCTAATCCCTTCAAAGGGGTTTACCCTCCGGAGTGAGAGCTTTGAAGGGTTGAAGGGTGTAGGGGTCAAAAAAACATGCATTTTTTGGAA